TATTATATAATAATTATTATTATATTATATATAATAATTATTATTATTATTATTATTATTATTTATTATTATTATTATTATTTATTATTTATTATTATTATTATTATTTATTTAATTATTTATTTAATTTATTTATTACTAACTTTCAGACAACATGGTTTTCAACCCCGCCAATCTAACATGTGTAACCTGCTAATATGCATAACCAGCAAAAACACGGTTGATCATTAAAATACCAACATAATATTATAGTATACCCAACTAAAACATGGACACATTCACCGTCCAAATATTTGCACTATTGTTGTTTTTCATTATTTTGACTATTGAAAACATCGTTTTCAACACTTTTGGTCGTGGGACGTTCGTAGTCCTACCGGTTGGAAGACTAGTAGGCTGTTTTACTTTGACTACTGTGATTGGAAAACTAAAGCATAGATATGCAATACCGTACTCGCCTATATCTAAGCTTTCAGAAAATGTATAAGTTGCTGTAGTAACATGTTTAGTAACCGTCATGAAATGTCTGCTACCCGAGTAACAAGCGTAAATCGTGCAGATTTATAACATTATTAATTAAATATATACTGTTTGTTTCAAATGTAGAATGAAATTAATGAAACTTATAGCTCCAGGTGCGTGACAGTTCATTCGGTTGTTTATTTGACCCAATCCAAAAGTCAATCAGTTAGCTCTTCAATAATAAACGCATGAATTACCCCCTCATTCATTCTAGCTCATCGCCAGACGTTTGCTCATTTCGGTAATTACCGACGCAATAGAATTCTCACTCCCTTCAACGGCAACACGACATTGACGAAGTAATTCGTATTGCACTTTCGATTAGGAATGAATTAATGCTTATAATCACTCAAATACAGCATGCGAGAATACGAAAATAAACTCCAAACAGATTGTAGTAACTAAGTTGACAGTACAAAGAGCTCAGTATCAACTTGGAAATATGGAAGCGTGCCAATAGATGCGATAACAAAATTAATGCGGATATTTAATCAAATCCACTTGTCTCGATATTTTTAGTAATTCAATCAGACGCGTTTGTATTAACAGTATTGTTGAATGTTACAAGTTTATGAATCTACGATACTCAGTAGCAATTCTATTAACGAAAAAACTGAATGTTTGAAAACCACAGGTGCCGTGACACGTTGGACTATTGGATGGTTCAAACGAATAGACACTTTTGCACGATTCTTCTA